TATTATCTTAATGATAATTTAGGAGTTCTTTTTCTTATCACTATTTTAATACAAACTTTTGTTTAATCAAACATAAAAAGTAATATAAAAATGTTTTTCTTTATTTTAAATTATAGTTAAGAATATACATGTATATATTTAAAATTATAATCTTAGATAATTTTTTTATCTATTTATTTTAATTAAATATAATAAATAAATTTTTACAAAATTTTATAATTATCAAAAATTAAAATTAGACAATATTTATTAAATTTTTAAATATATAAGAAATTAATAATTTTAGGATTAAATTTTAATAATTTTCAAAAAATGTATACATTTTTGAAATTTTTGTAATAAAAATATATAGTTTTAAAATATATAATTAAATGATATTTTCAAAATTTTTACTGCCATATTGGTATATATTTATTTTAATGATGATTTATTTGTTATTACCATATTTTAAAAATATTTTCAAAAATATAAATCGACATTAAATGTAATATATGAGTTGTTACCATATTCTATAAAGTTTTCCAAAAATATATATTAACATTAAATGTAATTGTCTATGTCATATTTAATCATATGTCATGTCATCAATCTATACTATATAAAAGTTGAGGCTATAAGCCATTGAGGACGTCCACATAGGATTTAAGTCTTTCAATCGTATAATGACACATCATTATATTAGTTTATTATTTTTATAAAATTTCTTTGTTTCCAAATTATATTAAAAACGAAATTAATATTCCATATAATTTACCTAACAAAATAAATGTTAACATTTTACAAATTACATAAAAAATGTTAACTGTAATAGAAAAAATGGAAAATCAAAAATAAAAACGTAATATTAACAAAACATTATTTTCTTTTTAGATATACTAAATGTAAAGTAACATTTTTAGAAAATGTCAATTTTTCCAAATTATATTATAACCGAAATTAATATTCCATATAATTTAACTAAAAAAATAAATATTAAAATTTTATAACTTACTTAAAAATGTTAACTGTTATAAAAATGGAAAATCAAAAAAAAATATTGACAAAACATTATTGTCTTTTTAAATATAAAGTTTATTTTATACAAAAATAAAATAATAATATAATGGTAAAATAGTAAAAGTAACAAAAATCATCTTACAAAAATAAAATAAATTTAATGTATTTTTTTAAATATCATTGTTTCCAAATTAGTTTAATTAAAAATTATATTATCTAATAAATTAGGTTATTAATATAAATTATTAGTTTTAAAATGTTAAGATTTCCAAATTTAAATGTTAGGATTTCCAAATTTATCTATGTTAACATAAAACGGAATAAAGCAAATTATTAATATAAATTATTAGTTTTTAAATTGTCANTTTTTTTAAATATCATTGTTTCCAAATTAGTTTAATTAAAAATTATATTATCTAATAAATTAGGTTATTAATATAAATTATTAGTTTTAAAATGTTAAGATTTCCAAATTTAAATGTTAGGATTTCCAAATTTATCTATGTTAACATAAAACGGAATAAAGCAAATTATTAATATAAATTATTAGTTTTTAAATTGTCAAGACTTCCAAATTTAAATGTCTGGATTTCCAAAGTTCTGTATATTAACATAAAATAGAATAAAGCAGGTTGTTAATATAAATTATTAATTTTTAAAATGTCAAGATTTCCAAATTTTAATGTTAGGATTTCCAAATGTTTGTATATTAACATAAAATACAATAAGAAATTTTATAATATATGAAGTATTGAGTGACTATAAATAATTGTCTGAAGTTCTAAAATTTTTCAAAATATATGTTGAGAAACAGAGAGATATTGGAAAGAGAAAAGAGATATTGATACAATGGTTGCTTTGACTTCTTCTTTGGTTTTCGATGATCTTAGAAAAAGTTTTAATAAGAATGAAATTTTTGCTAGAATGATTCACTTTTGCGAAGCACAAAATATCATAAGGCTGATTTGCTAATGAGTTTCGAGTTATTAGTTATTGATCAAAAGGTATGAAATTTTTTATTTAGATATTATCTATAGTATATAAAATTTGAGGCTATAAGCCATGAAGGCCAAGTAGTATTTAAGTCCTTTAATCATATCATGACACTTAAGTTTTTTAATTTGTTATTTTTAAAAATGTTAATGTTACTAAACAAAATATGTATAAGGGAAACTTAAAAAATTAAAACATTATATATAATTTAGTTTTAACATTAAAATAACAAATTATATTAATTTTAATATTTCTGAAAAAGTCAATATGACTATAACGACCACATAGGATTTAAGTCTTCTAATCATATCATGACACATAAGTTTTTTGATTTGTTATTTTTAAAAATGTTAATGTTACTAACTAAATAATAATAATAGTAAATATGTATAAGGGAAACTTAAAAAAAGTATAACATTATATGTAAGTTAAATTTCACATTTATAGATTTTCAAAATTAATTAAAATAACAAATTTTCTTAACTTTACTATTTATGAAAAACTCAATATTAAAAAAATTATTAATTTCAAAACAAAATATAAATCAATATCAAATATGGCAAAATTACAAAAATAAAACATCATATATAAGTTAACTTAATTTATTAAATAATATCGAAAATAACATAAAATAATTAGTCAAATAATTATCTTAATTTTGCTATTTCTTAAAAAAATGAATAGTAAAAAATATATATATTATACTATATAAAATTGAGTTTATAAGCCATTGAAAACTTTCACATAGAATTTAAATAAAACAACCTTATCATGATACATATTTTTTATTTGTTATTTTAAAAATATTAATGTTGCCAAAACTATAATTTCAAAATAAAATTTAAATATGTATTAGGTAAACTTACAAAGGTAAAAACATTATATATAAGTTAATTTTACTATATTACAGATTTGTGAAATTAACATTACAATAACTAATTATCTTAATTCTGATATTTCTTAGTAAAAGTTAATATTAACAAAAATGATCTATTTCAAAATAAAATGTAAATCAGTTTCAAAATTTGATAAAATTACAAAAGTAAAAACATCATATATAAGTTAGGTAGTTCTAAGTATATAGAATAATTTTAAAAATTAACATAAAGTAAATACCAAAAGAATTTGGCAAATGACTATCTTAATTTTGTTATTTCTAGAAAGGTGAATGGTAACAAAAATCTATATTATAAAAAATATGTTAATAAATACAGTTATTCGTTACATATACAAAAAATCTAAATATTACTTATTTAAATATTAAAATTTTATACAATTTAAAGAGAAAATAAAAAAAATTATATTTTCTGAGTACAAAGAAAAATTATTTATTATGCTGAAGTTCAATCATTTATTTTGTTAAAAATATAAAAATGTATGATGAAAATATTATAACGTGTTAACAGTTTACATGCAAAACATAAATACTAAATTAAAAAAATATTTTAAATAATAAAATTATATTACTCAATTAATTTTTTATTCTAAATTTTTTAATACAGAACTCGCGCGTAGCGCGAGTATAAAATCTAGTTATAGTAGATATGTCACCATTTTTTTTGAAACTGATTCTAGAGAGAACATGTGGCAAAATCACTTCACAAATAATGTATAGGGGATAGTTGGGTTGGATTGGATTAGAGTTCCATTAGAAATACTTAAGAATCATATGCTTAATTACATTACATGAAGGAATTAGGACCAGTTCATCTCAAAAGGTAAATTTCTCATCTTAATCTAAACCATTACTTACACTTTTGACCAAGCAAAAACTAGTCTCTTAATTCCTATTTGATTAAAGCTTAAGAGTTTTAGATCTTAAACCAAGAAGGCAAGAACATAAACAAAAACGCACCAAAAGCTAACAAAAATGAACCTATGACCCTTAAAGCTCAATGATCTTGAGCCCTCCTCACGTTGGCAGGCAATGCTCTGGAATCAACTTCAAAAAGCTCTTTCAAATCTCCTTGCATCTCCTTGGTTACTCGAGAAGCAGGAATCTTATGCGAGAATCTCAGAATTTTCAACTTTGGGGTTTGTGAATATCACTTCTGTCTGATCCACACCATCACAATCATGATGCCTACTCTCAGCTGCTCTAAAGAGTGTCTTTTTCTCTTCACCTTCATTGGAGTACAACAACACATGCTCCAATGCTAGAACCTTGTAGCCCAAGGTATCCTCAAGAACTTCAACAATGTCATATCCCTCACAGCATATGTATATGGCTTCCTCCCCAAATGCTTGTATAAGAGTGATCTTCTGAATCCCACAGTAGTAGAGAGGCAAGGCATCATTATTACCACTGTAAAATGACCATATCTGGCCTGTTTGAAAAACCTTTCCCTTGTTAGAAAATTCTAGAGCTTCTGGTTTAGGCTCTGCGTATAAATGACAAGGGACGACTCTCTCTTGGATTGTTTCAGGTAATGCAGCTTGGTCCAGCTCGTAAGCATCTGAATAACGTCAACTCTTTTCGTTTTGAAGGAAGGGATGCTACAAGAGAAACTGTACAAACTGCGAGATGGAATCAGAATAACATCTGCATCATCATCAGTTCCCATTCGGAAGAAGACACTTGCAAAGCCTTTTGCTTTGTGCAAGATTGCAACAGATACTCCATCAGTGGTATTATTAGACAAGATCTCAACAATGTCATACTCATATTTACGGTGAGAATCTGGCTCTGAAGACAACTCAATAATATCCCAGTTCTTGAATAACGCCCATGTCTCACCTTTTCTTGGTGAAACTGTGAAGTTACCAATCATGATGCTTCCTTGGCAACAAATAGCATGTGAGAACATGGAACGGTCTTTCGTGTTCTGGTTTTTCCAAAACCTGAAGTTACCAACGGAAACAGGTAAGTCTTCTTCAAACCATTGGATCTCTTTCTCATCGTCTGGATCCGGTTCTAAGTATGTGATCCTAAGCCCAAAGGAAGGAGCTGTTGAGACTTTTCTTATCACAGCATACTGTCTAAGCATCCCATCTGCTTTATCATAGAGAGCTCAGGCCTGACATTCTGAAAACTTTGCATCTTCCCTCAGTTTATTAAAGTCGTTAAACTTCAGACCAGCACATTCAGAAGTATTTGGTTGTACAGCATCTCCCGAACCTGAGTCACATAAACCAGGGTGGTTTCTATCCACCTCAAGATTCCTTGAGCTACCTATGACATTAGGGAATGTTTCTTTATAATAACTAACCGCATGGAGTTGCTTTCCCCATCCTGAATCTTCTTGCCTTCCTGCATCTCCAATAGGACCAATACCATTGAATCCTCTTCTTCTATTGTCTAAAGCCTTTTCAATAACATCTTCAGAGTTTTTATCCACTTTTAGAACATTGTGAATTAATATGGCATTTTAAGGCTAACGGAAATCTTCAGAAACTTACACAAAGTCCAAACAGCAATGTTATACAAGCTGATCTAGTCTTAAATCGGATACTTGGTTATTCACTCATTACATTTTTGTTATCACCAAATTTGTAAATTAAATTATAAATTTTAAAGGGTTAGACGGATACAACCGCAGATATACTTGAGGGGAAGACAGTAAATGAATAACATTACATTAAAATAGAATAGGCCCATCATGAGCCCTAAAATTTCATATATTATACGTTCACAAACCCTAAAATTTGAGGGAAGACGTTTACTACTCGGATCAAAATCAAAGATAAACAAGAAAGAAGTAGCTTCAATGAAGAAGCTCTTTTATAATAAGTATCAAAAGCGGTAAGCTCCTCTCCTTACGTACTCGCTTTGATGCACTCGGTATCTGTATGCATTGTTGAAAATTTCTTTTTTGGTAATGACCGTATCAGGTTAGGTGTCTCGTCTAGATCTGTTCGAGAAGGAGAAGTAGTTATCAGCAGGGAAGATAGATTAAGCTTATTACCTGAACCGTTGCTATGTCACATACTTAGCTTTCTCACTACTGAGCAAGCGGTTTGGACAAGTGTTTTGTCCTCTACATGGAGACATCTCTGGAGATGGGTTACTAGGTTAGAACTAGACACCTCTGACTTCACAAATGACCAACTCTGTGTGGATTTCATCGATAAGTTTCTTGCTTTCCAAGGCAAGTACTACTTGCGTGAGTTCAAGTTAGCCATTAAACACGATGTCTTTGATGGTGATGCTTCTCTTTACGAGCCGTGTCTCGGTAGAGTGTTGGATATGCGGAAGCTTGAACGTTTCCAAGTCGGGTGCAATTGTAGTTACATCCGGTTAACTCTTCCTGCTGTGTGTGAGGCATTGGTCTCCTTAAAGCTCCATTTAGTTAGACTAAATGAGTTCGAGTCTCTTTCTTTACCCTGTCTCAAGATCATGTTCTTGGAAGACGTTGTTCTGCCTAGCGATGCGGTTGCCGAGGCGTTAATCTCATCCTCTCCGGTTCTTGAAGTTTTGAAGATAAGCCTCAGTAGAGAAGATTTTGTGGTAGCTTTACGTGTCTGCTCAACGTCACTAAAGAGCTTCACTCTAAGAGGAGTGGATCTTTTTAATCCTCGTCTACGTTCTGTTGTGATTGATGCACCGAAACTTGAGTATCTGAGTCTCATGGATTACTATAATTTCAGAAGCTTTAAGATAATCAGTATGGCTGAATCTGTCAAGGTTGATATTGATGTCAAGTTTATGCTAATTAGATATGACTCGAAGGAAGTGAAGATTGTCTACAATCTTGTCAAGAATCTTTCAGGTGTTGAAGATATGACAATATCATGGAAATCTCTGGAGGTATTATATTTTTTTATGAATGATTAAACTCTGAAACTTTCTTGTTTTCTCACATTCTCTTTTGCTTTACAGTTTATATATGGTTTCCATCATATGAAACGACCTCCCAGATTGCATGGCTTGACTCGTTTGCGTGCCACTATGTGCTTAAACGCATCCCCTAAACTATTGCCAATCGTACTCAAGAGCTGCCCCAATCTGAAACACTTGACACTGGTAACAATTTTTTTGGGCTTTTAAAAACTTTTCAAGTTCTGAGATTATTAGTAACGTTTTATTTGACTTCTGTCAGAGATTTGTGTGTGTTTTGTAGGAATTGTTTACTAAAGATTCTCCATATGCAGAGAGTACTAGTCTCTCCACTGTACTGCCTCGTTGTTTGGTGTCGTCTCTTGAATCTGTTGAAATTGAAAGCCCGGTCACGGAGGTGGCTAATGAAGTGAGATTGGCTATATACTTTATGAAGAACTCGACTACACTCAAGAAGCTTGTGCTACGTTTGAATGATTGTACACTCAAGCCTTGTGTCTTGGAAAACTTCGTGAAATATTCAAGGCGCTATAATTTGTCTCACTTCGAAGTTATTCCAGTGGCTACAACTCCGAATCCATGGCCTCATAAGAGGTATGTTTATAAAAAACCACGTAGGTTCTAAAGCTGGAGTTGAAGATGAAACTAGTTGGCTCTCAGCCTTCTTTAGCTTGAGTCACATGCATGGCTTCCCTTTCCTTTCCTTTTTTTCCTTTCTATGTGGTATGGCTTAAGACTCCATTTGGTTTGGTTAAATGATTTTGAGTCTCTTTGTAAATGGAAACAGTTGAGAAGGTTTCTCAGTCTAATCTAAACCACTGCTCTTTTCCTAAGTACCATCCCAAGATCCATGAGTTTCCATAGATTTTGAACCAACAAAAGAAAAACATACAAAAAGCGCATATGCACAATCTTAAGTGAGTTTTAAGGCTTTAGATCTTAAAGCAAGAACAAACCTTGAGTCAGAATGCACCAAAAAGCTAACAAAAGTGATCATCCTTCTCTGACTTCCATAGCTCAATGCTCTTGGAACTTCACAATACAGGTACTGCTGTAGAATCAAGTTCAAAAAGTTCTTTCAACTATCCATCTATCTCCTTTACCACCCAGGAAGCAGCAATCTGATGAGAGAATCTCAGCATTTGTGATTGTAAATATCACCTCAGTCCCATCATCATCATCATCATCATCAAAATCAAGTGGCTTGATCTCAGCTGCTCCAACACTCTCTTCTTCTGATATATATCCTGAGGCAGAATCTGAGATGTGTCTGCGTCACCAGTTCCCATACGAAAGAAGACACTTGCAAAGCCTTTTGCTTTATGCAACATTGCAACAGATACACCAGCAGCTCTATCAGTGTAATCGGACAAAATCTCAACAATCTCATACTCATTATTACAGTGAGACTCTGGCTCTGAAGACCAGTTTATATCCCAGTTCTTGGCTCTGAAGACCAGTTTATGACTAGTATTGTTTCCTTCCTTACAATGTATAACATGTGAGAACATCGAAAGATCTCTTGTGTTCTGTTTTTTCCCAAGCCTGAATTGACCAGTAGAACCAGGCAAGTCTTGCTCAAACCATTGGATCTCTCAAACCAGAATTAAGAACCCTAAATGTAAAATTGAAACCCTAGATTGAGCAATAACCCTAATTGCGAATGTGAAAATGGGAATTAAAAAAAAAAAGATAAAACATCATCGACTGACCGATTTGATCAATTTATGCAGCAACCGAACCAAATAGCAGTCGGCGTCGCCGGCGGAAACTTTTCCGGTGAAAAGGAGTGAGACGATAGCACTACTTAAATAGCAACGCCATCTTTACCCTAATAATATCTTCAAACGAGACAAGTCTACTAGCATTGGCGGGAAAATAATTTGATTTATGGTAGCCCTATTTTATAAACCCAGAGATTTGGGGTAAGATTTAAAACAACGGGCTGAAATAGACCGGTTCAAATCGATTTTGGATATAGTCTCATGTCAATTTTCTAATTGCAAAAAAAAAATAAAAAAATCTCAATTTGATTGATAAAGTAATTTAATTTTCTGTTTTATAAATAATGTTTAGAGGCCTTTATGTTTATCCCCGATTCTAATGGGTTTTTTTTTTGTGGGAGTATTTAATGGGTTTTTAACATGCTTTGAGCCCATTTTTACTTAAAAGTTGGTGACAAGAGTAATAAAATAAAGATCGATTTTTGTTATTTTTTTGCAGTGTTTGCGGATTTCACTGACATGTGTCAATCCACGATTAGTTCCTTTTTGATTTTTTTTAATTAAAAAAAAAAAAGTAAGAAACCAAAAAATGTGAATGCACCAAAAAGCAAACAAAAGTGAATCATCTTTCTCCGACATCCGTTGCTCAACGGTCTTGAAACCTCACAATGGAGGCACTTGTGTAGAATCAAGTTCAAAAAGCTCCTTCAACTCTCCATCTATCTCCTTGGTCACCCGGGAAGCAGTAATCTGATGAGAGAATCTCAGCATTTTCGACTTTGGGATTGTAAATATCACCTCAGTCCCATCATCATCATCAAAATCAAGTGGCTTGCTCTAAACACTCTTTTTTTTTCCTTTCATCTCCATTAAACTGCAACGCAGGCTCCAACGCTAATACTTTATAGTCCAAAGCATCATCAAGAACTTCAACAACGCCATAGTCCACATAGTTCTTCTCCATTTCATCGGCACTAAGGTAAGGAGTCCAGAATCTTAAACCGAAGGGATGATGTCCTTAGGCAAAGGTGTAGCCTTGCACCAAAATGCGTGGATTTTGTAAACTGGAGCCTGCTCAAATGCTTGAGTTAAACTGATCTTATAGATCCTACAGTAGTCCCTAGGCATGTTATCAAAATATCCGGTGTAAGACCAGATCTGACCAGTTTGAAAAACCTTTCCGCTTATAGGAAACGTAAGCTCTTCTGTTTCAGGGTTTGGAGCGGCTGGTTTTGCTAATAGATGTGAAGGGACGGTTACTTCTAGAATATTTTCTGGTAACGCAGCTTGGTCCAGCTCATAAGCACATTTTGGCACACCTTTGCCTTTGATTCCATTCAGCTTGAAGGAAGGGATCCTATGGGAGAATCGGTACAAACTGTGAGTTGATATGTGGAATGTGTCTGCTTCACCAGTTCCCATACGAAAGAAGACACTTGCAAATCCTTTTGCTTTATGCAAGAATCTGACAAATACACCACCAGCTCCATCAGAGTAATCTGACAGAGTTTCAACAAAGTCATACTCATATTTGCGGTGAGAATCAGATTCTGAAGACCAGATGATATCAGTTCTTGAATAGAAAATTGAATTCTTAATTTTTTATAGGATTCACTAATTATTTAATTATTTTTTTAAAAAAATTTCGGATTACTTTTAAAAAATACGAAACTTCCCAAAAAAAAATCAAACACATTTGATAAAACAATTTAACAAAAAAAAAACACAAAACCCTAGAGATGTATTATGATAGAGAGAGGAATAGCCAGTGCTGAGAGAATCAGAAACAGCGATACAATCCAGGGAAAGTATAATAGACAGGTTTACGCCTATGAGTGTCGCCGGCTAAGGAAGAAGCAAAGGTGATCATGGAACTCACACTTGACACTTGTCTACGAGGCTGTCGTCGGAGAAAACACGTTTACGCCGCTCGATTTACCGCTCTTCCCTTTTTCACGGCGGTAAAAAAAAGCCTCTGTTCGCAATTCTATTTTGGCGGGAAATAAATGGGCTTACGATCACTTTGAGCCCAACAAGCCCAGTAAACAAAAATGATCCCGCTAGCTTCCACTTCTCCTTAGCGTTTGAATTTTGAAAATTTTCCGAGATCTTTCTCTTCATCATTTCCCCCGCCCCCTTCTGTTTCTAGATCGATTCAACAACGGCAGCTACTTCTCCTCAGAGCTTAGAAGATTCCGAATCCGATTAGAGTAAGATGAATCAGTACCACATATACAAAGAGATTGGGCTTGGCAAATGCTCGGTAATTTCTAATCTGCTTTTATCAGTCCCCCGATCATCTTTTTTTTTTTTTTTGTAAATAAATCTGTTCGTTGCAGACTGTGTACAAAGGGAGGAAGAACAATACGATCGAGTATTTTGCCTGCAAGAAGGTCGAGAAATCGCGGAAGAGCAAAGTTCTTCAAGAGGTACTCTCACGAGAGATCTCTGTCTCCTCTTTGCCGAATCAGTGATTTTAGATTGAATGCTTGATTTTAGTGAGCTGGTCTCTGAACAGTGAGGGATTTCACTCTAGATTCGTCATCAATTAGGGATCTTAAGTTTCTGTTTCTGGATATTGTTAGTGAGTCAAAAGGCTGAATTGAATTTTCTCGGACTTTCTTTTTGCAGGTGAGGATCCTTCACTCGCTGAATCATCCAAACGTACTCAAGTTCTATGCGTGGTACAAACCTAGCTAATATCTAAACAGTTATCTGCCTCACTATAATTTTATTAGTTTTCTAATTTATCATCTTCTTTGTGGCCTCTCTCAGGTACGAAACTTCTGCACACATGTGGTTAGTTCTGGAATACTGCGTTGGGGGTGATCTCAGGACGTTACTCCAGCAGGTAGTTTGCTTTCTAGTTCAACTGTGATATTGATGGGCATGTTTCTGAAAATCACTTGTTCTGCAGGACTGTAAGCTGCCAGAAGATTCAGTATATGGCCTTGCCTATGATCTTGTCACAGCCTTGCTGTAAGATTATTCTCTTACCAGTTTGACACTACCTCTAGGTGCATCAAGAAAAATGTTTTTTATTATGGACATTTTTTTCAGGTTTTTACATTCGAAGGGAATTACATATTGTGATCTGAAACCATCAAACATCTTACTTGATGAAAATGGACATATTAAGGTGAACATTTTTTCTTTCTTTTCTATGCAGGTATGTAGTTTATTTGGTTTAAATGATATCATATTGCCTTGTGTTTCAGCTGTGTGATTTTGGGTTGGCAAGGAAGCTAGATGATATTGCTAAATCTCCATCCATGGTAAAGAGTATTTGTCTGTCCGATTTTTTTTCTATAAATAGGCTTAACAGTGTTAGTGAATCTATGATTTCAAATTACACCGGAAACTGTATGTATGACATAAATACTCATCTCTTGTGATAACTTGCATCAGGGAAAACGTGGAACTCCGTATTATATGGCTCCAGAACTATACGAAGATGGAGGAGTCCATTCTTTTGCTTCTGATCTATGGGCACTTGGGTGTGTGTTATATGAATGTTACACAGGTAGACCTCCTTTTGTGGCAAGAGAGTTCACCCAGCTTGTGAAATCTATTCATTCAGATCCAACTCCTCCACTCCCTGGAAACGCAAGCCGTTCATTTGTCAATCTCATTGAGTCTCTTCTTATCAAAGACCCAGCACAAAGAATACAGTGGGTAGATCTCTGTGGTCATGCATTTTGGAAGAGTAAAATAAATTTAGTACAGTTGCCTCCTCAGCCTGCTTTTGATAATATGATTGGCATATCCACAAAGCCATGTCTTTCCGAGCATAACGGAGACAGACCAAACAAGACCCTGACCCCTCAAAAGTCTCGGGAGAAAGATCCAAAAGGTATTTCAAAGCACAAGGAGAACTCCTCTCTAGGTTCAAGGGGCCATGAGACGCCACAAAAGGGTACTCCTGTTGGTTCAAAAGCTCAAACAAAGTTTCCCAGTAAGGCAACTGAGGAAAAGAATGGTGGTCGTCCTGGTGCTAAACGACAGGTGAATATTCTAAGATTGTCAAGGATAGCAAAGGCAAATCTTCAAAAGGAAAATGAGAAGGAAAACTACAGGAGACCCTTACCTAATACCAACGAGAACTGTGCTGAAGTGAAAATCGATAACACTGATATGGAACTTGATTTTGATGAAGACAATGATGAAGATGGTCCAGATGAATCAGAAGGAAATGAGAACACTGAAAGATTTTTGAGTCAAAATGAGAGTCACGGAAAGCAAGGAGTTAGCAGCAATAATATGCCTGATGAGAACTCGTCTGCAAATGAAACACCAACCTCGGATGAAGCCAGAGATTGCCATGACGAGCAGTCAGAACCTATTGAATTGTCAACTGCTCTACCTAGTGCTAGTCCTCAAGTTAAAACTCTTAGAGGAAGAGAGGTTTCTGGGATTACTGTTCACCACGGTTCGTCTAAAACACCTAATAGCCTCAGTGACGTCCTTTGGCATTTATCTGATCTTTCTGTTAGACCTGTCATGCCCAGCAAAAAATCTGACAAAGAAGCTGTGCCGTCTCTCTCATTCGAAGTACCACAGCCTTTTGATTTTGGTAAGATGGGAAAGCAAGAACTTGAACCGCTTAACAATAGAATCATAACGGCTCTAAGTGGGAGTAGTGCTGGCATCTCAGAGAAACAGAATGTGATCAGATACCTCGAGACACTGAGTAGCAATGCTGATGCAGCCAACATATTGACCAACGGGCCAATAATGCTTGTGCTTGTTAAAGTTCTGCGATTATCCAAGACACCGGCTTTTCGTGTACAGATTGCTTCACTAATTGGTTTGTTAATTCGGCATTCTACTTCTATTGAAGATGACTTGGCAAATTCTGGTATTTTAGACTCTCTTACCAATGGCATCAGAGACAAGCATGAAAAAGTGAGAAGGTTCTCTATGGCAGCCCTAGGTGAATTGCTATTCTACATCTCAACTCAAAATGAGCATAAGGATTTCAAACCAACAGAATCCCCATCCAAAGAAGCCCGGTCTACATCGGGTTGGCAGGTCAGCATTCCCGGATTTTTACTCGTAATTTGGCTTTTAATGTTCATAGTGTTATTCATGGGGCAAAGTACATTGATTAATCTTAGTGTTCTATCTTTTCACTGATTCCTGTTTAAAAAAATTATTTTTCTTCAATTAGGTTTCAAGTGCCTTGATCTCTCTTGTATCATCTATCTTACGCAAAGGAGAAGATGACCTGACTCAGCTCTACGCGTTGAGGACAATAGAAAACATCTGCAGTCAAGGAGCTCATTGGGCCAGTCGTTTCTCCAGCCACGATGTGATAAGCAACCTCTGCTATATTTACAGAGCAGCTGGGAAACAGGAGAGCATGAGGCAGACTGCTGGATCATGTATGGTCCGTCTTGCTCGTTTTAACCCTTCTTGCATTCTGACGGTTGTAGAAAAGCTTTCATTGAAGGAAATAGCTTCATCTTTCGTCAAAGGCAGCGCACGAGAGCAACAAATCTGCTTGAATCTTCTGAATATGACTATGATGGGAAGTCACACATTCCCAAGCTTTGGAAAACATCTTGTGACATTGATAGAGGAGAAAAACCTTTTCCCCAGTTTGGTTTCCATCTTAGAACAAGGAACTGAAGTTCTCAGGGGAAAGGCTGTTCTCTTCGTTGCACTTCTCTGCAAAAATAGTAAGCGGTGGCTAACAAATTTCTTCTGCAATACAAGATTTCTTCCTGTGGTGGACAGATTAGCCAAAGAAAAAGACATTTATGTGCTGCAATGTCTTGAGGCATTCGTGAATGTAATCGCCTCCATAATACCCGGTTTGCTGGATACAATAACCAGTGATATCCAGCAGTTAATGACAGGAAGACGCCATGCATCTGTCTCTCCACTTAACAGTCGAGCTGCTTCAAAGACTAATGTACACTTGTTCCCTGTGGTTCTTCATCTTATTGCAAGCTCTTTGTTTAAAATGAAAATGGTAACCCAACAAATCCTACGCCAGCTGGCAAATCTTACAAAACTTGTGGAAGCCTCATTTCAGGTCAGTAGTTACAACTTTCCGATGCCCTTTTTATATTATTCTCCTCCTTCAAATGAAATGCTCTGTTTTATTTGATTTTGCACTAATAGGAGTGAATAAATGCCCCGTCAAAGTTTAAATACCTATTCTTCTATAATACGGTTCGGATTACTTATTGGATAGGATTAAGAATCTCATACAACTTTTTATCGGAATTTTTACCATAGATGTGTGTTTAAGATCAACATGTTTTAATAACTTTCTCCATCTGCTCTCTTGTCTCATGTTAACATGGTTCATGACTCAGTGAACTTTGATATGACATACTTGTGCAATTTTTCATGACTTGTTAACAATTTGCAGGGAAGAGACGACTTCCGTATAACCCTTCTTCAAGTTCTAGAATGCATAGCAGAAGATGCTCCTCTGGTAACACAAAATGCTGAGATTATCATCCGTGGTATTCTTCCATCGTTGGCTGCAATTTACAATGGGAACAAAGACGGGGATGCTCGGTTTCTCTGTTTGAAAATCTGGTTCGATACAATGACAATTCTCTTAACCGAGTGCACCGAAATCGAGCAACAAACCTCTGATGATTTGAAATCAATATCCAACTCTCATTTCCTCCCACTCTACCCTGCACTTATCCAAGACGAAGATCCAATCCCAGCGTACGCACAAAAGCTCCTCCTCATGCTAGTTGAGTTTGACTACATCAAAATCTCCAGCATTTTGCATCAGAATACAGTTTCACAATGCTTCGAGTTTCTTCTCGGAGACTTGTCAAGCGCCAATGTGAACAACGTCAAACTCTGTCTTGCCTTGGCTTCAGCTCCAGAGATGGAAACTAAACTACTTTCTCAGCTCAAGGTAGTTAGTAGGATCGGGAATCTTCTAGAGTTCGTGAATACCAAAGAGATGGAAGATTTCCTTGAGCCTACTTTAAGTCTATGCAGAGCTTTCCTGCTACGGTCACTTGGGAACAAGAAAGATCTCAGCTCAAACTACACGAAAGAGCCAACGCTATTATCAGAGACATCTTTCACATTCGAGGTCGATCCACAAGAGTGTATAAGAGACATTGCAGACTTCGGTAGCAACATTGGCTTGTTCCTGGACCTCGCGGCTTTGGATGGCACGAGCATCATAGTAGCAGATATTGCCTCTGAATGCGTCGTGTTGCTACTTAAAGCTGCTCCTAGAGAAGCCGCCACGGGGTTTTTAACCAACCTTCCTAAGATCATACCAATCCTCGACTCGTGGCGAAGGAGGAAGAGCACGGAGGCGCAAATGTTGGTAATGAAGAGGATCTTGCATTGTTTGGGTTATGCGTGCAAGCAGTATCTATCGCAGGGGATGGTTTTGTCGATATCAGGACATGATGTTTATAAGGTCAACGCCATTGTCTCTGAAATCAAGTACTCAGACGTTACTGGTCTTAATAGTGTAGCTTCGCTAGTTGCTATGGAGTTGCAGAGGTTGCCTCGTTGAGTAAGCAAGGTTTTATTGTTATTTGTATAATCCAAAGTATCTTTACATTTCTCGTTGTATTAAACTATGAGTATATGATATGAAAATTCAAAATAATTATCTGGGCATATTTAGGCCCAAAATGGCCAATAATGTTCGTTACCCCATTTACATTCTTCACGTCAGATATTTTCCCGCCAAAATGGATTGGGAACAGAGCCTTTTTACCGCCGTGAAAAGGGGAGAGCACAACTGTTTTCATTCTCCTCCAAAAACGACGAAACCTTCGCACACAGTTCTCTCCGACGTCGGCCTCTTAGTCAGAGTGAGCTTCTTAATCTCACAATATAGCCTTCATTACTATAAAAGTCGCTTACTTTAGGTTTAGGGTTTCCTACTACGTTAAACCTTATTCTAAAATGCGTTCAAAAGAATGACCATAAATAATATGTTTTCTTCTTCTACAGGAGGATCCCACGAAGATGGATATCACCATTAATGGCGTTACAGAGACTTGGATTAAAGGGACTTCCTCCTCCGACCCAACTCCTTCCACTGTCATTCCGAAGTTTTGGACCACGTGTCCCTTCTGTTCCGTGTGTTACAGATTACATAGAAGCTTTGTCTGCAAACAGACCAGATGTAAATCTTGTGGCAAGGAGTTCACGGCGCGTGAGAGACCTCTTCAAGGCCTTTCATCTAAAGATAGTACACCTAAAAGGATACTGAGTCAAATGCTCCGTGAAACACATCAGTACCATCCGGTTGCTTCTTTCAGTTCCGGTCCGAGCTTTTGGACTACGTGTCGAAGCTGTGGGTGTAGACGTCGTTTTCTTAAAGTGTATCTGGACAAATGGTTTGTTTGTACTCGTTGCAAGGAGGAAACCATTGCAATGGAAGTACTTTCGAGTTCAGGTGAGGCTCGGTTCGGCAAATGGTTCCAAGAGTTTAGATCCATGTGTAAGAATGAGGCAGCATCTGTCTCTGGAAAGAAAAGCTCTCCTGGTTTGAGCTGTGATGTGAAGGTTGGTGAGAAGAGAAAGAGGGAAGAGGTTGCTGCTTCGTTGCCAAGTGTCATCAATGCAAATCAAACGTTAAATGCTCTAGGAAGCTCTGGGAATGATAAGGTGGATAACAACTCTGGTTCACGTGCTGATCTGAAGTTTAACGACTTTGATAAGCTGAGGGAAGATGTAAACTTTGCAGTAGGCCAGGTATGGGCTCTCTATGATACAACAGATAAGGTTCCTAGACAGTATGCTCTGATTAGAAAAGTTACAGCTCCTTCTTTTGGGGTTAGAATCACATATCTAGAGCCAGATCCTGATGATGAGAAAGAGATCCAATGGTTTGAACAAGACTTGCTTGTTTGTGCTGGTAAGTTCAGGCTTGGGAAAAACCAGAACACTAAAGACCGTTCAATGTTCTCACATGTTATCCACTGCAACAAAGGAGGAGGCGACTCTGGTCATTTCACTGTTTATCCATGAGAGGAGAGACCTGGGCTCTATTCAAGAACTGGGATATTAACTGGTCTTCAGAACCAGATTCTCACCGCAAATATGAGTATGAGTTTGTGGAGCTTTTGTCAGATTATTGCACTTATGGAGCTGGTGTAACTGTTGCATTCTTGCATAAAGCAAAAGGCTTCGCAAGTGTCTTCTTTCGTATGAGAATTGTTGATGATGCAGACAATTTTAACATTTTACCTCATAATTTGTACCGATTCTCCCATAAGATCCCTTCCTTCAAACTGACTGGAGTTAAAGGAAAAGGTCTGCCAAAGTATGCTTACGAGCTGGACCAAGCTGCGTTACCTGCAACAATCGAAGAGGTAACCGTCCCTTCACATCGATTAGTAGAGTTTGTAGCTCCAAAGCCAGAAGCTCTCTGCTTTCCTATAAATGGAAAGGTTTTTCAAACTGGTCAGATCTGGTCATACATCGGATGTGATGATAACATGCCTAGGGAGTACTGTAGGATCCATAAGATCAGTGTGACTCAAACATTTGAGCAGGCTCCAGATTACAAAATAATCTCCTATCGGTTAAAGGCTAAGCTTCTCCCTGGGGAAGTCATCCACTGGGCGGACAAGAAATTACATGTTAGTTGTGGAACTTTCTTGGTGAGTAAAGTTCATGTAGCACTTGCTCCGGATAGCTTCTCACATCTGATGGTGCCTGGAACCTCCATGGAAGGAAATGAATATACCATTGTGCCCAAGATTGGTGAAGTGTGGGCTATATACAGATTCTGGAATGGTTTCCTTGAAGAAATCTATGAGGAACATGTCGTTGTGGAAGTTCTTGATGATGTCGCCTTGGACTATAAGGTTTTAGCGTTGGAGCCTGCGTTGCAGTTTAATGAAGACGAAGAGGGAAAGAGAGTTTTTAGAGCAGCTGAGAGTAGGCCACTTGATTTTGATGATGGGGATGACGTGATATTTACAATCCCAAAGTCGAAAACGCTGAGATTCTCTCATCAGATTACTGCTTCCCGGGTGACCAAGGAGATAGATGGAGAGTTGAAGGAGCTTTTTGAACTTGATTCTACACAAGTGCCTCCATTGTGAGGTTTCAAGACCGTTGAGCAACGGATGTCAGAGAAGGATGTTTCACTTTTGTTAGCTTTTGGTGGGTTCTGGCTCAAGGTTTGTTCTTGCTTTAAGATCTAAAACCCTTAAAACTTTAAGACTTCTCCATGGTGTATGTATGTTTTTCTTTTGTTGGTTCAAATCTATGGAAGTTCATGTTTAATTACTAGTCACTTGATTCGATAAGAGTTCTCTGCTCAGAGTCTATCAAGCTCTCCTTCTTGCATATATGAGCCTGACGTAATCTCAACGTTGGCCTTTGTGTCATCTCTCAGGAGCTTCTTATCATCACTCATGTGATCTGATATGTTTTTATTTTATTTTTAGGTGATTGAATTTAAAATAAACAAATGTATCAACAAACTGCTCATTTTGTAAGTGCAAGAAGTTCAAGATGGTTGAGGTGAAATCTTCCTCGCTCCAACAGAAAACAGTTGCATGTAAGAATAAAGCCACACATTTCTCTGGAAAGGAAAGTTCTCCTGGCTTGAGCTGTGTGCTGTGAATGTTGGTCAGGAACAAAAGAGGATTCAATTATAATGGAGATGCAGGAAGGCAAGAAGATTCATGATGGGGGATGCAACTCCATGAAGTTAGCTGTTCTGAAGAAACATTGCCGCATGGAATATATTTGAGTCAAGAGTAGATCTGTCTTAAACTTCGGATTCATGTTTTATGAATACAACGATACAAATAATTGTACAGGATTACAACAAAATCTATATAAATGCTAAGATAACAAGAGACTTTCTTCTTTATTTACGTACAGATATGGAAATACTCATCAAACGGTTTGCAAACTATGCACACCAGTGGCTGAACCTATGCTCGCTGTCTGAGCCTCATCCTCTACTGCTTGATCGTATGAAGACAGCTCCACCTGGTTCATGTTCCGAACAAAGACAGTGAAAGCATGGAAATGCTCAGGAGAGAAGAAAAGAGCTCCCATTCTCTGGTAAGTAAACAGATCAATTCCAACACTCTCATCCTTCAGATTCTCAACAATCCTCTCAAACCCACCAGAGACCGAAGTAGACGAGTTTTGCCCTGAAACAACCACTCCTTGTTTCTTACATGATGCTTTGATGTCTGCAAGTAACGACTCAGGGCTGGAGAGAGAGGCCGGTGATTGGTTCTCATCAGATAGATCCATTCCAGGTATTATCATTCTACAAGAGTTTTTAGCAAAGATCTCTGCGATTGCCTCGTACCTATCATGACCATTAGAGCTGTAGAAACCAGCTGTTAACTCAGAAGGCTGAGATCTCAGCTTGTTCCACTGATGTAAGAGAGGTAACTTCCCACTTATTGACACACCACTTCCACTAAATGCTGATGAAGCAACAGAGAGGACTCGGTCTGCATGAGAGGTGAGAAGAGACGAGTACCAAGTCAAGAAGAAATCTCCATACTGAGACTCCCATGACCCGCCGTGTGAGAAGAATGATGTGGAAAGAGGCTGTTGATCGTAAGCAGGAGCATCATGTGGACCACCAAGTCCCCAAAGAGGGTTTCCTGTGGACTCAGCGTAGTGTTTGAGAGCTGAAAGCATGTGTTTGTCGTAACACTGGAACTCTCCTGCACCAGAGAGATGAGTCTCGTGTTGATGAGAAGGATACTTTAGGTCTCCGTCTGGTCCCATACCTAATGTGATTCCCTGCAAACCAAAAGAACAAAAAACTCAGAAACTAAAACCAGAGCAGACATACTGAGAGAACGTAAGTACAAAACAATACCGTGATTGTGTTGCCCATGTAATCTGAGAAAGCAGACTTAAAACTCTCGCAGAAACAACCATAAACCTCCATAGGACTCTTCCCATCAAGAACAGGAACATCATCAACTCCAAACGACAAACAATCTTTAAACTCTTTCCCATATCTGTCTGTAAAATACATCCCAGGTTCAGTTTCACCAATCTTCGCCACCCAGTCAGGTAGACCAATCTCCGGGTCTTTGGAACCATGGAAAGAGAGCGACACATGAAGTTTGAGTCCAACCTTCTTAACAATCTCCGCAACAGCTAAGTACCCTGACCATTCATATTTCCCTGCAGCTTCTTTCTCAACAACTCCCCAGAAAATTGGTAACTCAACTCCCTCCACACCGAGTAGCTTCAAAGCTTTGAGCCCAGCGGTAATAGCTTTCCTCTGGTTCACGTTGTTGCAATCTGATACTGTGTCTAGAGGTAGCCCAACGAATAGTCTCACGCTCTCAAGCTGCAACACAGAAAAAAAAAAAAAAAAACATGTTTAATTCATACATATATGAGTACTAAATTTTGTATATATATTTAAAACTTATAATGATTTTGATAAATTAAATTTGTTGACAAAAATAGAAAGAGAACTTGTGATTGGTATATAATGACAAAAATGACATTATATTTTATTACATTAATCATTAATATATGCGTCTCATAATTACATTAAAAAAGAGAAACAACAATATATGAGTTTATGACATATATACAATCACCCTTGTAATAGAATCTCATGTTGCAGCAAAGATCGGTAATAACAATCCCAAGGGATAAAGGAGAAACCTTTTTTCTCCTGATTTTTTTTTTAAATTAAATTAGGTGAAAGACACAATTTTGCAATAGAAATCAAGTTCAAAAACGAATCAATTGATCTGAACAATAGCAATCGAAGGAGAAGAGAGTAGTTACCGCTCTAGAGTTTGGAGTGTGTTTCAGAAACGGAGCTTGATCGGAGACGATAGCTTCGCATTTGACATATCTCGCAGAGCACCGGATCTTAATCTCCTTCAATTTTGAGCTCAAGAAACTAACTTTATTCCTCGATTCACCGGAAAATACGTCGGAGCCAAATCTAAACCCGAGCTCCCTGCAAGCTAACTCTGATCTGCAAAACTTCGCTTGAGGGTTACCAATCACTGAAACTTCCATTTTTTTTGTGATAAAGAATCAAAGAGGCAAAAGAAGATAAAAAGCGAAAAAAGTTTGTAATTTGTAGCAAAAAGTGATTTGTGGATTATTTTGAGAATGTTAGGTTTGGTTTATATAAGAGAGGTTAGTGGATAAAACTGTGCCCTCGTGGACATTCCACGTGTCGATGTTAGAATGCTCCCATACTTGTAGCCGCTTATTATTGTCTTTTTCGTTTTTTATGCATTTATTAATGACAATATTGATGGCTAAATGTGTCCACGAATATTGAATTATTAATGGGAATGTATATATTTTTCTACGTCAACAGAGAAAACATAATACCGTTCAATATATGGAAAAGTATTTCTAGTGGTATAGTTCCATGGAGAACAAAATGAGTGATTCAGATCATATTGTTATCTAATAACGTTAAAGAAATAAACAGATTGTTCAATATTAAGTAGTAAATAAATAGTACTACACCTTCGCATGGATATACTTGTATCTTTTGTAAAAGAGTGAACCAGATATTCTACCTTTTAAAACTTGGCAAACCTATCTCTCTTTAATTACTAGTTTAATTTTCTTAACCAATTATTCTACCCGTTTGTATTATATGCCAAGTTGGTTAATGACAGTTAGAATATCGAGATAATTGCATCTTATCCGAATTAACTGTTCCTTGCCGGATTCAGTGAACTATATCCATAGCCGTTAAAGTTGGTGATTACATATTAGATAATTTACTATTTAAAATAGCATTTTAAGAATATGATTGATTGGCCTAATTTATTATGGCATTTGCCTACGAATACGATTCAGATTTATAAGATAAGGAACACCAAACTATTTCCATGCATTATTGGGAAAACACAATCATATGCATAGTTTTGTATCGAGGAAAGTGGATAATAGCATTGTTATAAAATCTTGTGTTTAAAAAAAAAAAATAGCATTGTTATAAAACGTTAATTTTACGTTGAACACGGAAACAGTAAGGAAAGTAGATAATAGCATTGTTTTGTATCGAGGAAAAGACGTGGATATGTTAAATTCCACGTCAAGTCAAGTTGTCAAAGATGACGGAGAATTATTATTTTTTCACTCGGTGTGATTTTTAAATTCAACAAATGGTTTCAGAGAAGTTGACACGTGTTGCAATATGGGAGGATAGAAATATCAACGCTGAGTCAGGTCCATGCAACAATGTTTCCTTCAGATTCTGTAGTACTGTCAAGATGCGACTCTTTCATCATGTGGTTTCTATAATTTCTTTAGTTTTCTAAATTTTATATATCTACATCTCGTAGTTGTTTACTTTTTCTATATTTTTGGCAGTCGAAACATTTTCATAATTTATAGCCATAGAGCAAATCAAAAATATTACTCCAAATTGAACTTCCACAACATAGCTTGATAGAAACAGACCACGTAGATATTTTTGCTCTGAAAGATGTCATTCATATCTTTTTACTCCAAGGGTACGGTTGATGATTCTGACTGAAATTTTGCTCTGCTTCTACTTTAAACAAACTGTTAAAGCTTCCAACGCTTGAGGACTTCTTTGAGAAAGTGACCAGAGAAGTAATAGCTGGTCAAGAGCTCGGCGAACAGTTCTTCTAGTTGGAAATTAGTTTCATGCAAAATGAGTTTGAGCTTTGTAATGTGTACACAAAAGATAACAATCTGTATATTTGAGATTTGTTGAATTAAACAACAATAGAAAACACACATTGTATATCACAGGTAATTTTCCTGGATCAAGAATATTTAAAGAGTATATATTATACATAATCCTGGCTTTTACCACACCCAAACAAAACTAGTTTGACCATATAAGAACCAACAACAAATAGAATCATGAAGAAGACAGATATGTGTTTTGCTTTTGTGACTAATAATCGAATTGATCATCGATCTTTTTTGTTTCTTGATATAACCAATCATCAAGAAAGTTCGTTTGCAACACAAAGTTCTTGCTTGCTTTAAGGTAGATGGCAATAGAAGAAAGATCTTTGGTGATGTCATTGAGGAAGAACAGGAGGTGCGACAGCTCTGGTGTTGTAAGATCTACAATGACCACATTTCTGTCCTATTATGTGGAAGTATACTTCTGTTGTGTCGTTACAGTCATTGCATAGTATCCACACCTGTGAATCCCAGCCACGTAAGCTTCTTTTCAGTTATTTCAAATCAGTTTTGAATGAGAGAATGAAATACAAGAAATAAAATTATGTTATACCTTCTTGTCGCGGTAATCTGAAGGCATAGAAATGGCTTCAATCTAAGAACACAAATGAATAGAATTTAATATTTTGAATAGGTGAAAAAGTACTTGAAAGCTTTTTAAAAAAAAAAGATAATAAAAAAGCATACAAACTAATGAACTGCACTAATAATCTCAGAAAAGTTTGCCAGCTAGAACAATTTTTTAGAACGTTGCATAAAACAGAATTTACCAAAAGATGTTAAACTAACCTCTTCATCCATTCTCTGCCATGTTTTTGACATATCAATCACTGACCTCGAGCAAATAGGACAGCAAAATCTATACAAAACAAAAAAAGTTCACACACATTCAAAATCTCCATCAGTACTAGAAATTTAAAACCAGAGAGACATAACCACAAGAGAAAAGATTAAAAGATTACTTGTCACGCTTGATCATCTCATGGTAGCATTCACAGTGCATTGTGTGTCCGCATTTCATCACTGTTGTTTCTTTAAGAGAGTCAAAGAGATACTGCAAGAGCAATAAAAGTATCTCACTCATTCACTCACATGTGTTGCTGAAACTCTCAAGCTAAGCCTTTAGCATAACACACCATACCTCAAAACAAATGGGACAGTGATGTCTCATTGAATCCTCAACGCAGCGATGGTTGTTCCGCAGACCAATCGCATAACAAGATCCTAAAACCAAGAAACTGATGAGTCAACACCAATTGTTTGTGTTTGAATGAAAACTGAACATGATTAAGTTATTTGTTTCTTTTTAGTTTTTTACCACACTTCTTGCAATGGAAGAAATTCTCACGCCCACCAACTCTGCAACAAACACAATGAAACATTAATTATCACACAACTTCAAAACACCATTACACACTGCATGAAAGAAAGAATCTCTCACCTGCAGATTCCACAATCATCACAATGGAACTGTTTTTTCTCAGTCTGGAACATGAGCAATGATTAGAATCAAACACAAACAAGGAAGAAGATTCAAACATGTTATAGAAAATCAAAACTTGTTTACATCATCATCATAGAACTTGCAGATATTGCAAAAGTATTCTCCCATGTTGACACCACAGTTAGAACATACTTGAGCTACCTGAAAAAACACAGATTTAAAAAAAGTAACTGATAAGTGAGTTAACATCATCATAACTCATGAGAATAGCTAAAAGTAGCAACTCAGAGTATACCGGTTGCTCTGTATCGCAAACAGAACAGATCACCTGAAACAAAAACAGCCATAATATTCAACAAATTAGAAAAGAGTCAAACTTTCTGAGATCACGTAATCAGAATTAGATCGTACTTGTTTAACGTCTTCACGAACAAGCTCATGACGGTCGTAGATATTCCGTAAAGTGCTCTGTAATTACAAAAAAAGGAAGTTACTTTCTAATAAACTAAACTCAGGTTAACTTTTAGGACATAACAGGAAAAAGTAATTTTGGACAGTAATCAAAAAGTGATGAGTTTTGATTATTACAGTGAACTCGTTGTGACAATGGCGACAATCGAAGACTTCATTGCAACAGGGAGCTCTGATCTGACATCTCCTCCTGTAATGCTGACACCTAATACACATGGAAGAGAAACACGATCTACATGGATCAGAGAGAGTCAAAACGGTTATTGAGAATTATAAACTTTTTTCTGGATCGAGACAGATCTATCAATCGAGATTAAGTTCATAAACAGATGAAACCCCATGAATCAGATGTAGAGAAAGGGATAAACTTTGTGATTCAGAACTTAGAATTATGGGAATCTATGGATCACATAGAAGAAGAGAGACAACCAACAAAGGAAACACTGATCTGATAAAAGTAGTTAGTAGACAGTAAAAGAGACATAAAAGAGAAACAGAGGATTGTTGTTTTTACCCAAAACCCATTTTGCCAAAGTGAAGTCGATCATTGGGTGAAGCTTCCATGAGAACAGGAGGAGAGAAGCTGATAGATAGAAAGAGAGATGTGAAAAGTTTAACTCTTTCTCTCTCTCTTACTATATATTATGAAGTGGATTTGGATTGGGTTTTGAGTGTGGGCTTTGAAGCTGATGGTTTTATCGGAATCGGAAGGACAGAACTGAAAAAAACAGAGACCCCACTTCTTGTTCTTCTCCAACCTTCCTATTTGCAGGAGGTGACGAGAGAAAGAAAAAGAAAGCTTGGAGCTTTAATTTTCTCTCTCTCTTTCTTTCTATTCTTGTGAATGTTGTTAGCGTGGGAGGTCGTGAGATTTGTAGCTTTAAAGAAATAATGGAATAATAGAGATAAGGTGGTGAGGGGAGAGATGGGATGACATGGATAAACCAACCGTAACAGAGAGTAGAGCGCCGATTTATTGACCAATCACATCTCTAGATCATTTATCTTTCAGACCTTTTATTCCCCAAAAAGACATTTATTTGTTTTTGTAAATTGTGTAATACTATTAGCAAGAAAGATAATAAATGACCTATTTGTATGCCAATAGGGGTTTACTGAAGCTTAAAGATCGGATAATAAACTTTTTTAGTTTTTTTTTTAACAATGTGCATAATAAAAAAATTCTTATTGTTATCAAAATAATAATATTTACATTATTTATTATTTTAAAGGTATTGAGGTGGCGAATACAAAAATATATGATTGATCATTTTGGAGGCAGTGGTAGTATACTACTGTGAGAGTTGTAGCCTGCAATAGAAAGAAAAGGTCAAGTGTTCGTTGCTTGAGTCAGTTACATTGCCCCCACCATGCCCACCGGCCCACGTGATGGTACCACGAACCTATCCATCTTTAGTATTTCACTATTACTTAAATTGGAATTTTGGAAATTATATATAGAAACAAAATCACATGAGCATTGAGAAAGAAAAAAACTATTATTCGTTAGGCTGCAAATAGTATCTGCTAGAAAAATAAGTTTTTTATAAGTTTATTTTATTTTTATTTATCTATATATTTTGAATTAAATTAAGAAAATAAACAAATAGTGTTGAATTTTACTAGTAGTCAAACTGATGATAGAAATGAATAGTTAACTTTGTGGTTAAAAAAAAAAGAAATGGAATAGTCAACTATTTTAAATTTGTGTGAACAAAGAAAACTAAATAACATATACACTGAAACTAAGTGAATAATAGCATTAGATCATCATTTTTTAATTGATAAACATGGTTTATGGATTAAAGCTTCTTAATAAATTAGGATGACAAATCTCCCCAAAAAAAAGCTTCTTAAGAAATTATAAATAATCTGGGATATAGAGAAGGTTAGTCAAAGGCTGCAAAAAATGTAATCGTTTCCTGCACATCTTACTATCATACATGCAGGCCACTTAACTAAAGCTACTACAATTAGGTTACAACTTACAACCAATTAAAACATTGCATGGTGACAATGTTAGTGAATAATAATACTAATCAAGTATGACAAATACACATGATGACTTTGCTTAAAGAACATGTGGACAGAATAGTGAAGACTCTCCTTTTGTGGTCGGATTTGAACAGAACACATAAACGTATGTCTCACATCAACTTCCACACCAGGAGTGACAAAGAAAAGAACCTGAACTTTAGCTGGTAAGACCGACTGGTTCCTTTTTTTTTTTCTTTTCTCGAATCCATACACAATGCATGATACAATTCAAAACAGTACAACATTCAAATCAACTCAAGACTCTCCCTCCCCTATTACATATACAACCCGTTAAAAACAAAAAACATGACCTGAACAAACAAAAACAACATTTTCTTCCCCTCCTAATCTTCCTCTAAAACACCATCTTTTCTTGTTCTTGAGCTTCAGCCATGCTATTGAAGAGCCTCTCTTCTGACTCAGACATCAAATACGACAACTGACCCGACCAGACCCAACAAATGTTCCCATATTCCCTCAAAGATTCTTACCATAAAAAGACAAAACCTATCTCATTTTCAAACATACAAAGTTTTACAATCTTTCCCTTCCTCAGTCATTTGAGCTATCAAAGCTTCCCGGTCCATTGATTCCTCTCTTCCTCTCCCTCCAATTCTCTCCCCACACCTTTGCCTCCGCCACAGCTCTCTCTCTATCTAAATCCCTGTTCCTTGGAGTCCCTCTCATTCCCCTCCCAACACTCGCTGGACTCTCTCTCTGTGACTCTGTCCCTTCCACGTCACCTAACCCCCACTTCCTCCCTGACCCTCCTCCAGCCTCACTCCCTGCCTCTGATCCAACCATATCCCTTCTTCTGTAGTCAGGAGAGTTCTTGTGAGTCGCTGGTGACCCTAGCCGGCTACGAGTCTCTGCAGGACTATCCAAACTACTCCCATCTCCTAAGCTTCTCCTTTCATCCCTCGTCCTTATAAACGGCGGCCCTCCACCGCCACCATTTCTACTGTTTTGGCCGTTTGGCGCGTTGGGATCAAACGTTTGAGAAGCTAAGTAAGTTAGAGCTGTCACCACGTCTCCTATCAAAGGTCTTGTCGCTGCTTGTTCCTGTAAACACATTGCTGCAACCGCAAGTGCTTGATACAGACCACGCATTGGATAACGCCCTTGAAGTGATGGATCAGCCATCTTCGGAAACTTCCTACGATCTTTGAACAACGGCCTAGCCTGTTTAACCAAGCAAAAACATAACCCACAACGACCCAAAACGTAGTTGTAACATCAGACTACAAAAAGGTTGAGACTTTATGTAAAAGGTTGAGACTTTAGGTAAAGGTTAAGACTTTATGTTTTAGTGACATGCAAAGTTGAGGTTTTCTAACGTACCCATGCGACCAAGTTGTGTTCTCCAGGTGCTCGAGCGTTATCTATAGCTTTTCGACCAGTGATAAGCTCCAAAAACACAACTCCAAAGCTGTAAACATCGGACTTTAGTGTGAGTTGTCCTGTCATGGCGTATTCTGGTGCACAGTAACCATATGTGCCCATAACACGGGTTGAGACGTGTGTTTTATCCCCCACAGGACCTAACTTAGCTAACCCAAAATCAGACAACTTTGGGTGATAGCCATCTCCAAGAAGAATATTAGATGATTTTAAGTCTCTGTAGATCACAGGTGGATTGGCTTTATCATGTAAATACTCAAGTCCTTTAGCTGCTCCTGCTGCTATTGTCATCCTTGTGTTCCAATCCAGAGGCTCTTTATCCGGTGGAAGATCTGACAAAGAACAAAAACTTTAATACTTTACATGCATCATATAACTATTTTCAAGCTTATGTAATAAGCTTACCGTGTAGATGATCCTCCAAGGATCCTAGTGCCATATACTCGTACACAAGAAGACGTTGGTCACCATCAGCGCAATAACCAATCAAATTCACAAGATTGGTATGATGCAGAAGGCTCAGCATAAGAACCTCTACAAGAAACTCTCTGTTTCCTTGTAGACCGTTTCTGTCCAGCTGTTTAACAGCTACTATCTGCAAACCATAAAAAAAAATACACTGAGTTTCATTTAAGAAAAAATAAAAAGGATGATGTTGTTCTGTTGATTGGGTTTTCAAGAACATTTTCACCTGTCCCGTGCTCTCTAAACGACCCTTGTAAACACGTCCGAAACCTCCTTCTCCAAGAAGACATTCCGGTCTAAAGTTTTTAGTGGCGGCAGCTAACTCTCTGAAAGTAAACGTTTGTGCAGCGATGTGAGCGGTTGGTCCTTCTTTAGGAGCGGTTAGCTCCTTCTTATGTTCAGAACCTCCTCTAGACTTTGATTTGTCTACACCAAAAAGAGGAAAGGTTAGTACTTTCTATTACAAAGCAATACACAGGAAGCTTCCACATTCAATTTCAAATACTAAACTAGTAATCTCTAGAAGCAGCTAACATCTTTATGATTCCTTGATTACATTCATTCAAAAAAAAAAAAAAAAAAAAAATATGATTCCTTGTTTGTTGGATAGCACATAGAAAACTAACTTGACATCTCCTAATTGCATTCCATGTATATAGATAACTATTAATCAGAGCTCACAAAACACATTAGATCTCATGAACTAAACTCTACAAGCTTTGTAGCCTGTGAAGCTATAGTATATGAATTTATATCATAAACATCACCAAAGGAACAAACTTTATGAGAACCCAGAAACTTAAACCGATCTAAGAGACCAAAACTAAACAGATCCTGAAAAGTTGTAATGAAAAAATGTTCACCTAAGCTGACACGGTGAGACTGCTGAGTAACAGAGCCGTCTTTAGCTGAAACTTCTTTCTTCAACGAATCTTTAGAAGCATCGTCTTTAGCAGAAGATCCAAAGCAAGGCAAACAACACCCACTCATCTCCGAAACTTAAGTCCTCGGAGATATCGAAAATTCTAATAAACCTTTCCGACAGAATCAATCAACCGGAGATTATCCCAACATGATAAAAAAAACTCAACACATCTCGAGATTTTTTTTATTTTACTGTGAAACCAAACAGGAAAACAGAGTAGTAAAGACCAAAAGCCTCAGCCTTTTTTCAATGCATCTCTCTCTCTCTTTCTCGAGATCTTTGGTGGGAGATCGAGACCAGCGGCAGATCAACAAATCGAGGAAACTCTTTTTTTTGGATGTGGGTGCTAGGCGAGGAGAGAAGGTGAAGGAAAACAAATATATGAAATTTTATTACAAATGGTTTTGACATGTAATAATTCCTTTTTCATGTAATAACATTATCAAAGGGATAATCTTTAATTTATGAAAAGATAAAGATGAGATTAAGGGAATAAGTTTCTGTTTAAGTGTGAGATACTGAGATTAATGGGAAAATAAATTAATATCCCGTCTTTAAAAACAGTTTGCTTCATTTGTATAACTCAGTATCTTATCGGAAAAATTAAAAAAAAAACTTTTGAAATTTTCACATAAACTGAGGTGATAAACATACTTGACTATACAAGTGTAGCAAGCCAGATATAGTGTCAACTATGGGAAGTGATTATATGTGTTATGGAAAAATTAGGGAATCATACATGTGTATAATAAAGTTTGAGGCTAATTACATTTTGAAGCTAACTATAATTAAAGGCTAAATTAACGGCTTCGGAATATAAATAAGAATTATTACGGTCGGAAAGAAGACCCCACATAGAGGATATGTTTATGCTCTTATATATAAGTAATTATTTTCCAAATATCATTAATAAAATTGTATATACAAATCATTCACTATTACTCCTTTTAACGTTAGGGTTTAGTGTATAGCAACTTATTAGCCTGCATAATAAACCAATAAAAAAAAACTAAAAGTTATAAAAAGAAATCTTGTCGTCTC